AATATGTAATGAGTGTTTAGAATGAACATCAACATTTTCAACATCAACTGGTTTTTTTTGTTTGTTTTGGGGGGTTTTTTTTGGTACTGGGGATTGAACTCAGGACCTTGCACTTACGAGGCAGGCAGCAGAACCACTGAGCTAAATCCCCGGTCCTACATCAACTGTTTACTGCTTACAAGCTCTAAAAAATAACAGCCGTGGGCCAAGGATTTGCACAAGGTCCCAAGTTTGATCCCCGGTACCCAAAAAAAAAAAAAGCAGGGACATTGGAATCCCTGCCCAATTGTTGGCCAAAAAATAACAGCAAAAATAAATTCCTATGTGAACTACAATGAAATTAAAAATAAAACTCTACCACAAAAATAATCTTTCCTTCAATTATCTCATGTAAGGCAGTTTTCACACCTGAGAAGAGCATGTTCCATACACAAGTCTGGCATACACTGACAGGACCTGTGTTTGTTTTCCTGTCTTCTTTGGTAGGACACACTTGACATCTGGCTAGTTTTCCTGTTTTCTTGGGAGGTTCTTGTGGTGTTTCACTGGTTCTTGTGTCTGTTCACTGGTCTGCTCCAGAATTCTTTTGAGGAGTTCTTTAGGCAGATATACTATTCTCCCTCTGTTGTAATTGATCATTTATCAATTTCAGTCCCAATCCTCTAAGAAAATTTCTCCATGATAATTTGTGCTGGTTATTTTCATTGTAAACTGTGATACTCTTCATGCCTAACATGTTTAGGATCAAGTAAAACACAACCATTGCCCAACACTTTGTGTTTTGAGTGACATCAGAGTTGCTACATAACTCATCAACAACATCTACTCCACCTTTCCTTTTATTGATGACCATTTCTGGCTTCATTTGTGTAGAGGATTGTCTCAGCAATGAGAAAAGTAACTAAGACAGAAATGTTATGGCTTGTGTTTAGATGTCCCTCCAAAGCTTTATGCAGTCATAGGTGGGGCTTTTGCAGAAGTAGCTGGATGGATATAGAGTGTGTGATGCTAGAATTGATTCATGGTGCAATGCTAGGATCAAGAGCACTAGGATTACGGGTATAAGTCCTACCCGCTCTAAGGGTGGCTAGCCTGGATCAGACATAAGAGATATAAGGGACAGAGAGAAGCTCTGCCAGTCCCAGCACCCAGAAGAAAGCTCCCCACCTCCATCCCAAGCTCCTTGGGCAGAGAAGCTCAGCTGGTCCCAGCACCCGGAAGGAAGCTCCCCTGTCTCCATCCCAGGCTCCGAGGGCAGAGAAGCTCAGCCGGTCCCAGCACCCGGAAGGAAGCTCCCTGCCTCCATCCCAGGTTCCTAGGGCAGAGAAGCTCAGCCAGACCCAGTACCCAGAAGGAAGTCCCTGCTTCCATCCCAGGCTCCTAGGGCAGAAAAGCTCAGCTGGACCCAGCACCCGGAAGGAAGCTCCCCGCCTCCATCCCAGGCTCCTAGGGCACAGAAGCTCAGCTGGTCCCAGCACCCGAAATGAAGCTCCCCACCTCCATCCCAGGCTCCTAGGGCAGAGAAGGTGAGCCACGTGGGCACCAGAAGCAACCCCCCCCCCACCGTGGAAATGAGAAGACACATAAACAAGCCTCAAAAACAGACTTCCAGATCACCTACAGCAACCCCAAAGGGA